AAAAGTTAATGAGACAATGTATACAGTTGTTTAGTTTAAAATTCAATTTTGTAACATAATAAAAAATTCAAAAAATATGTAAGATTCGTTTGTCTAATTGGCTAATAAATTCAATTTAATTTTATATTATTTATACAAAATAAAACTACAAACCAGAATTGAATTAGTGAATTCTTTGTAGTTTTATTTTTTCTAAAAAGTACTTTAAACTATAAGAATTAATGAATTATAATTATTTTTGGTCTGGAATTCTAGTATAATTTATTAGCCAATCAGACGAACGAATCTTATATATTATGTGTTTACGCATCTTTTTTTTTGAATTTTTTATATGTATTGTTACAAAATCGAATTTATTTTTTTAAATTATTACTGTATTAGGGTTAGAACTAGTACTAAAATAAGTATGTACTAGCTTTTTTTTTTATTTTTTTTGTCATTTTCATTATTCTTACTAACTTTTCTTTTTTATAAAGTCTTATATCTTGCCGAAATACGATTTCTTTCTAGATCTGGACCACAGGGCAAGACTTCTCTAACGCTTTCCATAATAGCCACTTGTAGAGAGGTAAATGGGCTAATCTATTTAATGTTCTTTTTTTTTTTGTATTGTAACTTTATTTATTGTTGATCCGGCACTAGAAAAGTACTATATATTTTTCTTTTCTTTTTTGTTTATTTATCCTTTTATGTCTTCTTTCCGGGTGAAGGATCAGACGACGCAAGACTCATATTTCAGGTTATTACCGGGTACCTTCCAGCAATTACTGCTAAGGAGTCTTAGTTTAGGTAGGTAGAAGCAGATCTTAACCTAGAGAAATTAAACTGGTACTAAATACTAGTGTTTTAATTTTTCTTTTTCTTGTTGTTTCCATTTTCTATTTCTTTTACTAACACTTTCTTCTTCAAGTTAGTGTTTTATTCAGAAAAGTAAAAATAGTGCTTCGGACCTGTGTGAAATTGGAACTGGTATAAAGTACCCATTTCGAACCTTTTTTTTTTTTGTTTTTTTTTCATATTCTGGCTAGTGCTTCACCGAAAATTGAAATGAAGCCGAGAATAATCTAAATTGGGACTGGCGATTTTAATATAAAGATAAATTTCCCTTTTCAATTTTTCCTTTTATTTATTATTATTATTATTATTATTAAACGTGAATTGATTTCTTTTTCATTTTCTTTAGATTACACTTCGAAAGGAATCTGGATTGGTAATCGGGTCTTGGAATTAACGACTAGAGATTTTAGTTAGCATGAGATAATTTGGATTAGGATTTGAGTTAATAGTGGCATGAGATTAGGGTTTAGATAGTAGTGTGGCATAATTTTGATTAGGGATAGTAGCGCAGGTTAGAGTTTGCTAAAGGGTTAGTTTGTATTTGCTTATTACATGAATAAATATAAACTAAATATAAAATAAATGAAGTATGTATGATAAATCTGATAAATCTAATAAATATAAAATAAATATAAATCAGTCGATTTGAATAAATAAAATAAAAAAATTTGAAGTTTATATATTATATAATATATGCGTTATAATAGGACCAGGAAATCTCTATTATAGGTCTCCGCTACAACAATATTCGAATGCTACTATAAAATTTGAAAATGTGGTCGACCTATCATAGATTTGATTTATTTTTGTAAAGTCGCCGCCTTTATATGATTCGCAAAAAAAAAGGTCACCGCTCTGGATTAGATTCGCATATAAGGTGGGTGTGGGTATTATGGCGAAGCTAACACTTGCTACTAATAAAAGTTTAGCAAAAATTTTTATTTTTGATAATTTTTTTAAAATTTATATAAATTTTATCTTGTTTTATAATTATATATAAAAAAAAAATCGAATTTTATATAAATTATATAATGTTACTTAGAGGGCTACAACTTTTAATTTCATGAGAGTATTATGACGAATGATATGCAGATTGACGATCATTAGATATAGATAAATTTCAAATACTGAAATATGACTGTTACAGTACATTCGTTATGTTACTATTATCGTCTTTTTTTTTTTTTACCAAAGTTTTTTTTTTTCTTTCCTCTTTTTGATGATTTGTTTCGGCTTTTTTTCTTTCTTTTTCAGCCTTTTTTTTTTCTCTTTCAGCTTTTTTTTTCCTTTTTCTAATTCACATGCTGCTCGCTTCTGGGCAGTGGCTTCTTTTTTTCTTTTTACATTTTCAGCTTTTGTTCTGGCTAGCTCTTCTGCCTCTTCCAACTCCCACAAAGAATCCTTATTGGTAAGAAGTTTGGCAAATAGAAATGTTCTTCTTTTTTTTGTGGGTCGGGATTGAGATTCAGTGTCATTAGATTCTTGTTCAGTAGTTTGTAAGGAAAGACAGGAAGCAGAGTACTTAAGTGCTATTTTTAATGAGAAAGTACCGGGGTTTTAAAAGTCTCTAGTTCTTCACTTATTGACTCATACTTTTGTTTCAATAACTCATTTTCTTTTTTCAAGATCTCAACCTCTTTTTCAAGAGACATAAAATCTGCTTTTAACGATTCTGTTTTACGTCGAGTGGCATACTTATGAGTTATTGAAAGGGATGTGACAAAATTTGGTTGAAGAGAGGAAGATGTAGATAAAGAATTTTGTTGATTAGAATGAAATGAAAATGAGAAATTTGACTAAAACAAATGAGAATAAGGTAAGAGTAAAAGATCAGCTCATTCCGTTGTTAGTGAAGGGGCAAGATGGTCAGAACTTATTGCATCGGGATTAAGTGGCCAAATTCCTGTAGCTCTATAGGAATTTTTAATTGCTTCTGGAGTATAGGTTGCTGCAAATGTTGGGCCGAGGATTCTTGCAAATGTATGCTTGGTTAGCATTTCACCTTTGCTATTATGAAGCTGGTTACAACCCTTACTATATTCACTTTTAAGTGTGGCAAAGAAAAGTTCAGAGGGTTGAAGAATGTGAGTCATATGAGGGTGAAGCGCATATAATAAAACTTCATTCTCATTACAATATTTTATGCTTGTGTAGTTAATATGGCTCTTATGCCCATCAAGCATGAGCAAAACTGGACAAGAAGAGGGAATCGACCTGATGAAATGCTCGATATACATTTGGAAAAGTTCCTCTTTCATGTATCCAGAATCGGTAAACCCCATAACAGAGCCATGTGGGGCACCAGATAATAAACCTGAGATTGTGCGAATACCTTTATAGATGAATAGTGGAGGAATAAAATTACCGGCGGCTGAGATTGTTGGTGCGACAGAAATATGATCATGTGTATTTCCTTGCGAGATTTTATGAACTTGACAAGCTCCTTTTATTTTGAGAATTTAAGGTAATAAAATTAACTTATTGGTTATGTAAATTAATAAGTTTAATTTTTTAATTACTAACCTTTTGTCGCGAGAACTTTTTAAACTTTGGGAGCGATAACGAAGCCAGTCTCATCCATATTCCATATGTGGTCTGGGGTAAGTGAATATTCATCAATTATCTTCCCTAATTTATCAAAATGATCTTTTATTATTATTGGATTTGTTCTTTGGGCACATGCCTCTATTAAAGCCTGAGGCATTCGAAAAGACAAGTCTGGATAGTCCTTTATGAAACGATTCCACCAAGCTTTTTCAGGCCCTTTAACTGCAAACAGATGGAAATGATTATCATTGCGTACTATCTCCATCACACAATAATTCACACCTGATTTCGTTAAGCCAAATCCCAACTTCTGCATATTTTTGCAGTAACCCACTAATTGTTCTTCTTCATGTTTACTTAGAACTGTCCCAGGGCCAGAATGTTTGGGTAAACCTTTTTCAACAGCGCGCCTAAGTGTTGTCTCTGGAATTCCAAACCTTGAGGCAGTTGAATTTACACTAGGATTCGTGGGGCTTGCAAGTTCTTTAAGGGCAGCTTCAATTGTGGCATAATGATTTTTATAACTAAGCCTTATTGTTTTTTTATTAGATGTTTTTTTAGATACGGGTTTCATTTTTTTCATTTTGGCCTTCAAGTTTAATTTTTTTACACATTTGGATTTAGTCTTTTTAATAGTTTTCATTTTTTGTTTTAATAGTTAACTGTATTAGTGGATTTAGAAAATAATTTTTGAACAAAAATAATCACGGTTTTATTGATACTTTGAAATCAGAACTGTTGAATTTTGGATTTTTAAAGCATTTAAATAGCATCTTTTTATTGCAAGATAATAAAGAACTGTCTTATTTTTATTGGATACGAGTGACAAATAAAAGTGTTAATTGTACTTGCTAAAAAATTTTTACTTTAAATGTGCTTTGCAAATTATGCAATCTTTATGATTAATTTATTATAAAATGATTGCGATTGTGATTGCTAAGGCTGACTGATTCATTATGAATAAAATAAATTGATCAGCTCTAGAATCACGATCACAATCATATTTTCAAATTAGATCTATAGTGAATATAAATTTAGAATCGTGCGCATGCAATTGTATATAGTGAAATTTAGTTAGTTTTTATGAGCTAGCTTTATGCACATAGAGATTTACACTGGCAATCATAAGTAGTGCAACAAAAAAAAAATTTCACTTACATCATACTACCTCCCGCAATTCCGGGC